ACCGAATCTTGTCTGTGAATATTTTTTTTTTCGAGTGTACTAAAAACGTTTTCTGCACGAAATGTTTCTGTCAGCAGTTTTAATGGACGTTCGGTTCCGGTAGTTTCCGTAAGCGTTCGTGTCCTTCACATTCATTTAGTCAATAGTGTGTTCACTCCAAGTCTCTCGAATTTCGCATTCTGACGATAGGCTCGCGGCATCAGGATGATTCTGCGTCGGGAGTCACTGGCGGCAGCGCGCGGTCGGTAGCGATCATCTCGAAGACAAAGGCCTGACGATAGCGTTTTGGCCAAGAGAGTTATAGACCGTAACTTTGGCGTCAAGCTGAAGCGTGTATTGTGATTTTCAAGAAAGACCAGCGTGGAACTACCAAGCCAATGCCGATTCTCGGCGTTTTTCTCTGGCCCGTTAGTGGGCGTCCACAGATACCAGCGGACAAAACATGCAGTATTATGCTCAGCTAGGGGCATGAGAGGGCCAATGTACTAAATCTCAGACCTCTACAATGTATCGGAGTCGTCAGTATGCATCCAAGAGCAACTGAAGTGGGAACTATCGCGAGTGCAATACTTTTCCCGTGTCTGTAACGAAGAATATCAACACTTTGAATCTCCACATAGCCTCAAAACGAAACAATTTACGTGAGCCAATATTTCAACACTTACCACAGGGAGCCAAACCTACACGAGCAGGTGCCTAAAACTGTTTCAGAATATCATAACCAATCAAATTCCTACCCTCGGTTATAATCTAAATTCCGCTTCCACCGCGGGTACGTTATTATCATAAATGAGAGAAACGCAACCTCCATATCGGCGTTATTGTTACACATCGCAGACATTTAAGCAACAGCTGCGAAAAATGGCATCATGAGCAGAGACCACGGTGGCAGAGACGGACGAGGAGTGTCGTCTGCTATCGTCGTCTGCTATCGTCGTCAGCTGTCGTCGTCTGCTATCGTCGTCTGCTATCGTCGTCTGCTATCGTCGTCTGCTCTTGTCGTATGCTTCTGCACCGACGCTGAACTGTCTCCTGAGCCGATGCAAGATATTGAGGAACTGCAGGTATGAACTCATTCAGAACTGAGATGAATCGAACGCGCCAGTGCAGCGGCCGTACAACTTCCGGTTGAATCGAATGCACCAGTTCCTGCACTGCTGAACTAGTTCAGCCGGTTCAGGTGAATCGAACAGACCTATTGTTAAGACAATTTCCCATTCACTGTTAAGCCTAGTTCACATGCAGCGGTTTTGGCCCTAAAGCGGCGCGATTTCTGCCGCCGCGGCGCTCGTGCCACTGAATTGCTGGTGCTGGCCAGAGCGCCGCGACGGCATAAATCGCGCCGCTCCAGGGCCAAAACCGCTGCGTGTGAACTAGGCTTTAGGCTGAGACTTGAAGCTTCGCCTTCAGCGCGAGCTCGCTGGCTTCCGCAGTGCTTTGGTTGCGCGTGCCTGCGCGTTCCCACGTGTGTTAGCAAGGGCTGGAAGCTCGCGCTGAAGGCAAAGCTTCTAGTCTCAACTTGAGAGTGAACGGAAGATAAGTTTGGACTCTCGCTCGCCGCAAACTTAGAAATCTGTTTTCTTGAGATTCATAGACAATGCCGATTGATTTCGCTTCGAGTAAGCCAGCCCTAATTAGTGGGCAATGATGTAGGAATGTTGCATCAAAGTGACCTACAAGTTTAACATAGTATGGGATGGAGCGGAAACAGTGCCCTGAAATGAGATTTGCTGGTTGTGATGCCCTTCTATAATAATAATAATAATAATAATAATATGTTTTATTTTCCGTCAAAAGTGTATAACGGAGGGAGACCGAGGAAAAAAGCTGCAAGATGCAGCTTGACAGGTCCTCGGCCCCCCATCCTTACATTTGGCAGCAGTGGCACAAAAAACAAAATAAAAAAATACAAAAAAATTCATGTAAAAGAATGTTCACAGAAAAAGAATACATACACGCAAAGCACAGTTCAAATCAAGAAAGTAAGGTAATATTTATGTTAGTATTGTCTAAAAGGTAAATATCATACATTTGCTACACAGTCATATTAGAAGAAAAGAATGCTCGAAGGTCTTTAAATGACATGGTATGAGGGTTGATGTTTTCGGTGTGGAGAAGGTTAAGTAGTCTAGGTAGTGTACATGATGTCATTTGCTCGCCATATGTTGTTTTGTATTTTTGTAGCATCCAGTACTCCGTGTTACGGGTGGGATATGCGGTCACTCTTGCTGTTAGGGACACAAGTTCCAGAAATTTATGAGCATTTTTTTCTACATGTGATTTATAGGTTATACACAGTCAATATTGATAGAGACACATTGCAGGCATCAGACTCAGGCTTTTAAAAAGAGGCTTATTCTCTTTTAATGTGAAAGAATTAACTGTCTTATGGAGCGAGCCGACGTCATCAGCTTTGAAACCATGCAAAATGGCACCTTAATTAAACCACGCGCAAACCTAACCAACGGCACCTTTTACACTTCGGTCCCATTGGCTGACGCGCGTAGACGAGGCTCCCATTGGCCACTGCGCGTTAGTTTGTGTGATGTCATTCTGACTGTGTTATGGCACTGTTGCGTGATCACTGATCACCGGGTTCGCTCGCCTCTTATCTATTGTACGGCGCGTGGCAATATATACGGCGCATGGATTAAACCAGTGGTTCTCAAATAGGGGTCTGCGGACACCTTAGGGTCCGCGAAGGCATTCTAGGGATCCGCGAATCCCTGCTTCATCAGTCAAGCCCAGCAATAAAAGTTGTCTTTTTTCAGGTCCAGAAGAAATCTTTCAGTTTTTGGGCGAGTTTTCTTGTATGTCAATAAAAGAGGTCTACTTCACACTATCCCTTAGTTATATTCCTTAGTTATATCCATTTATTAAATCAATATTATATTTAGCCTATACCTTTCCTCTCTTCTGACCACGAACGGGGTCCTCCATCATCTCCGCCGATCCACAAGGGGTCCGCGAAACATAGATGGTTGAGAACCACTGGATTAAACCAAGGGGTTTGTTCTGCTGGGAACTACGTTGCTGTCTGTTTCTTGCTCACCCCACTAGGCACACGACAGTTTGAACGATCGCTCACTCTATGGCGCTGCGTGTCCGCGAGGCAGGGGTTCCACCGTTCTACGCCCAAGGTCAGCGTGTTGTTCTTCGCAGATTAGAGAAGGGAGCGAAGAGCGGCGTGCGTGCTTTCGCATTACAGCTCATAAGAAGTGTTTAGAATACCTCAAGCCTTTCTTTTTTTAATGAAATGCACATTTCACACTTGTTGATTTATGAAAAGTAGTAGTCTTCATGCCTTAGAAAAGGAAAACACAGAGTTAGTCTTAATAATTGAAACATACACACTACTTCAGGCATCTAAAGCTCTTTCAAGACAGAAAACCGCGTATGTCCAGCCTACAAGGTTGCAACTTCGAAATAGTATACTCTTAACACAGCTGATCACCACTGTACGGTGAAGTTTGTCGGTAGTACAGGGTGTCCAAAAAAAATTTCCGTCTTTTTTTTTTTTCCTAGCAAAAAGAATCTAGGCATCGCCGAAGGGTCATTCTCCAACCAAAGATAGTAAGTAGTACTAGAGGTTCGAACGAGATGCCAAAGTTTCAGCACGAACCGATGTCTTATTCAAAGGTTATAAGTGATTTTCTGAAAAGTTCAATGGAAAAATGGCAGCCGACGGAGCTCCTAAATACATGGAGCTCTATGGCGCCAGAAACTGAAAAAGGGCAGAAGATGGGCCCCATTTTCCCATTGAATTTTTCATAAAGTCACGTATAACCTTGAATAAGATATCGGAGCGGGCTGTGCGGAGAATGAGCGTTCTGCGATGCATAGTTTTTTTTTTTTTTTTTTACGCTGAAAAAAAAAAACAAGCAAAAAGCTTGTAATATTTTTTGAACACCCTGTACAATCAGTACTATCCTGTTTTTTACTAAATATGAAAAATTAAACACAAGAACACCAATGCCGCGCAGAAGCCATAAAAAGCAATAGGCTAATCTTTGGTTGTTATAGGTATACCCCGTCTGTCAACGAGCGAAGAGCAGTCTGATAAAATATTAAGTGGAAAACAATTCTGTCAACGAGCGAAGAGCAGTCGGATAAAATATTAAGGGGAAAACAATTCTCTGGGCCAGGACCCTTTCCAGAAGTCCTCGCCAACGCCTGTCCGCCATTGCTTGATCAGATGTTCCCAGAAAGCACTGGACACGAGGACTGCGCCCACATTAGGCGAGGAGTCGGATCCATTCACGCGCTTTGTGTCTAAGAAATGTCGACCTCCAATGTTGCTCAATGTACTTTTGTATAGGGTCTATTCATTCAGTCACTGTCAGTAGCGCCTCTCAACCTGTAGCGGATTTGTATATTTCCCGCAATGTGCAAGTTAAAAAATATATATATATATATATTTACCCCCCCTTTCCCTTCCCCTCCCCCCCTTTTTCGGTCAAAAACAAAATTTACTAAAATCGTGTCTCGCGTCGTTCCTTAGGACATAACGGATATAGTGATCGGAAACTACCTCTTTTTTGCATTGCCCACGTAAGTAGACCTTAACTTCTTTCTCCTGTTTTTGATGTACCTTTCTCTGTCGGTGCATCGCATAGGACTGCGTCCACTTATGTACATTTTTGTTTTTGAAGTGTGAACCGTATTTTTGTTAATTTAGGCTGCATCAACAGTTACAACAAAATAGGGACGGTAAAGCTCCCGCCGCCGCCCTGCTCTTTTCTTTTGGCTGTCCGAAGGCGGCGTGAAGCGTGGTGGCGTAGGCTGCAGCGACTCTGCCGACCGTACAAAGAGGGGCGACATTTACAAATATATATCAATTTTTTTTTTTCAAACAGCCCTTTATAGGGAGGTGCGGCTTATAAACCTATCAGTTGCTCCAACTGATAGGCCGAAGAATACTGTAGTTTCAGGCAAATCGTTTTTTACAAGACATAAAATACTTCGAACTACGTACGACTCTACGTACGTGGAGTACATACCTGCGACCTTGGGATCCGCAAAGCCAGGACGTTGAGATAGAACTGACACCCACTGCAGCTCACCTTTATCTCATGCACTGGCTGCGTTCCCGCAGTTATTTTTGTAAGCAGCGATATCAGAAAAGTGGAAAGTCGCGTGATGCGGCCCATACGTCTGATTTATCACCTGCTTGTTCTTTAGTAATCTATATCCGTTTTTATGCCGCTACATTTATCTTCACATCTTCTAAAAACATCTCCGAGAACTATTGTACTGTTATACTAAAAGAAAAAGCTCCAAAGGTAAATATCTCAAAGCACGTTGACTAAACGCCAACGCGACAGCTCCCGCTGTCAATCACTGCACATTTAGAGTGGTCGTTTGCAAACATTTGTGTAATTTTTAAAAAGCTTTTCTTTTCAAACGTCTATCGAGCAACATCGATGGTCGCCATTTCTTGGGCACAAAGCGCCTGATTGGATCCGAATCTTCACCAAACGCTGACGCTGCCCTCCTGTCCAATACGGGTGTTGTATAGTTTCTGGCCTGGGTGGAACCCAAAAAAAAGGGTCCCTCCCCTCAAAAGGGATTAGAGGGGATTATTTCCCTGGACTGCCGCCCCTGGGAAGGGATTAGCATGGATTATGCTCGGACCACTTCTTTGCATAAACCCGAGGCAATCGTCGCGCTCTGATAGGACGTTCGACGCGGAGCTTTGTTAGACGCCTAAGATTATATTAGAGAGAAAGGGAAGTGCACGCGTGGATAGACTGAGTGACGGGGGGCCATGGGGTCTTCAAGAAAGCCGGGTGGCCACATGGTGGATACGCTGGAAAGGCGGCTTGTCTTGTTTTGGATCGGCAGGACCACTTTGCTACTTCGAGCAGCGAACGGCCGCTAAATTAACCGCTGATGCTACCGTGAGCTAGGATCGCCTCATAACGACTCCGTGAAACTTGGATTGTCTTGGATTGGCAGAAACACTCTGCTACTTCGAGCAGCGAGCGGCCGCGAAATTAACCGCTGATGCCGAGTGGTTTTTGTGACGACTCGTCAATGTCTCTTCAACCTGCAAAATGCGGTTTGTTTGCTTCGCTTTTCTACGAGCGTACCGATTTTGCGAAGCAAGGTTCGTTTCTCGGGCTTTGCGTAATCAGGATAAATCGTGTTCTTTTCAATACGCGTCGAGTACGTTGCACCGACTCACCCGTGAACCGCGCGCCCGAAAACCACGGGAGGCAATGTAACCGAACGCCTCGCGGACCCCAGAACCGCGCGAGACGGCAGAGCCCGCCGAGGAGCCTCTTTGCTCTCCTACTTCTGCGTGTTTTCTTGTACTATGTCGACTTTGCGGAGTAAGAAAAACGAGGGGAAAATAAAAGTGAAGGGCAACCACACGCGCGTCTCTTCGTTTTATTATTTGTGTCCCCGTCTCGGATTAAAAATGAGTCGTTCTCCCTCTATACTCCGTTTCAGCTTATATTGTACCGCAGAGAAGGCCAGAAGCGCGAGCTCGTAGCGTTGGCAGCTGCCCTTGTTGCACGAGAGCTTGTGCCGTCGAGATGTGTCCTAGAGCAAGGAGCTCGCGCTTGTAGCCATTCCTGCGGTACAACACTAGGTGAAACAGAGTATAGCCCGCGTTTTATCCACGAGTTTCTGACGTGTAAGCAACACAACTCTTCACACTGCTTTTATTTGTTATTTTTTTTTTTCGCTGCGGATTTTTTAAATTTTTATTCGTGCCTGGTTCTGCTACTCTTCTGCTCACGCAATAACGTGTTCCAGTAGCCTGAAGCAAGTCACTCCTATTCTTCACCGTTGAAATATTTTTGGCTGTACAACAGTAATGTGTGCACACTGAAAAGTAACTTCTTGCTGCAATGTTACCAGCACAAATATTACTTACCGATGAGTGCCCAGGACAGCTTAAGAGACATTAGTGCACCCTTCAATGGTTCAAACCACTACTTCATGCACCACACAGGTGACTGTGGCATAGTGACAAGCACAACCAGGGTGCTTGCTGTTTAATGTCGGAAACACTTTGGAAAATGCAGTTACCACATGACCCTGAAGTTCTAGAGAATCTTAAACCTTGGTGCCATGCAAAATAACTAAGCTAAAGAAACCGCCAAGGAAGAGTCACAATAGGTGCAACCCACAGGTTCTCATGACTCCACATACCGGGCCGGCCAGCTGTGGATCAGCGAGCAGGTGTCGTAGAGCAGCTGCCACTGCGAGCGGTGCAGTGTCTCATAAGAAGAAACGGTTGCTGGAGAAAGCTCTCATGAATGCAAAGTCTGTGGTGAACTTGGAGTAGTGATGGTGATCCTGAAACAAAAAGGATTCAAGCCAAGCCTGTTCCTGTGCTCCATGACGTATGGCGTCCTCCCCTTACCAGAATTCCTGGCTGTTATTTTCCTTCCTTACGTGTGCGTGCCCCCATCAGCAGCAATAGTAATAATTGCACGTTGCTTCAACAGGACGTGCTGATTTGGGGGGCTTGGTGGCAGAGTGTGTTAGCACACTGCAGCTCGCAGTGTGTGGAGCGAAAACTTGCACTGATCGCCCCTGCCCGTTTTGACCTGGATGAGCACTGCACCTACACATGGGCGTGTATTACTGCTATATGATTCATCTTAAAGACTTCGGGCTATCGGTTGTACCGCACTTAGAGCGTGACAAAGTGTCACCATGCGCTGCCAGACCGACCTTCCTTCTTCTCGACAAATAATGTCCAATTTTCTTTGTTCCTGTAATTTGGCAGTCGAGTAAAAGAAAGAAAAAACTACTTTTGTGTGTGATGGGAAACGTATAACCCTCTCCATATACCAGGTTTACCTACAGCCACCTGAAAACATTGCACCTCTTCAAGTGTGAAAGAGGGTAGGCCTGCACGCAATCCACTACACTCTGTTTCACATTAATTTGGGAAACTGTAGAAACTGCGGCCTCTGTGCAGGCCGTAGGAGTCTGCTGTGAAATTAAGACACTTGGGAAGAACGTACCCCATGTGCCTAAAGACATTAGATGGTTTCAAAAAGGCATTCATACTTTCAGTCGGCTTGCAAACTGTAGCAAGAATGTTGGTTTGTACCATAGAAGTTTCAATTGCCCCTCCTTGAACTACTAGGAAAATGACTTCAAATTCACAATAGTGCTGAACGCAACTAAAACACATGGAAGAACAGTGGCCGAGTCGGCTAGCACGTCTCAGCTCTGGGCATGCGGAGCGAAAGCTCGCGCTGCAGAACCCGGGATCGTGGGCTAAATCCCAGCATTTGCTCATTTCGATCTGGACGAGGATCATACCAGTACGCGTTTGTGTAATCACTACTACATGATGCACGTTAAAGATCCCAGGCTTTCGGTCCTACTGCACTGGCTAAATTCCTCATCTACAGCGACAAGCTTGGCATCATTCGAGGCAGGCCGACCTTTCGCTGTCTAAACATCCTCAACACAATGCTACTTTTTTTTAACTGAAACACGTACAAAAGGGAACATGCCTATGACCTTGTACAGTAATGCATTGAACTGTTTGCGAATGCTTGTGATACACAAACGGGCAAGAGGCAAGAACGAGAGCATGCACATTCACACTGTGGCAGCAAATACACCACAGCAGCCTCCTTTGCCATTGTTGCCATGGTGGATGGAAGAGCAGGGCAGCGAATGCCGATACGACTGAAAACATTGTAAAAGTTATTGCTTTGCTTTTAATAATAGTTTAAAAAAATTTAGATTAATAGCTTTTCAAAACAAAGCCACCTTAGCAGTACTTTTTGGAGAAGATGGAACAGTCTGCCGTGATGGTGAGGAAATGCTGCAGCCTTTGCCTTTTGCCAAGTTATGGAGAAACACAGTACATATCATTCCACTTGGAGAAAAGACGCACCTTTGAACCAGAGCGCTCAGATGGGACTTTTCCTTGGTGCGTCGTCTGCTTTGGAAAACGAGCTGTACAAAACATCCGTTAGCATGCAACACGGTTCCAAATCTCACATCTCGGCTATTTCAGGTGCAAATATGCAAATTTAGAAGTGTGAGTTAGCGTGCAATGCTATACTCAATGAAGAGATTAACAGGGCACAATCGCGCAACCATCTCCCGTGCAAACAAAACAGAAAACTGGAAACAAGCACATAAACAATGTGCATGGTCAATCTGCTATGGCAACAAAACAAAAAAACTTTACACCAATTTTGATCGGAACTCATTGAACACCCTAACAGCAGAGTCTGAAAAATGAAATAAAATAAAGCACTTGCCAACAGTGATTATGCATATTCGAGGCATTTCGTCGAAGAAAAACAAATCCGCCAGAAGCCCGGTGCTTGCTAAACCTTCGAGAAAAAAAAACCAAGGTTGCTTACATTATTGTTGATATTTGTGGCAGTGTTATACACCAACTTATGTTTACAAACAAACTGGAGCGCCCCTAGCAGACGCCACCGGCGCCGCGCATGTGCGATGGAGTGTGGGCAAGAAGCTCGCCGTCGCCCATAAACAAACCATTGAAATGCAATGTTGGCGTCGGTGCGAGTCCTCCTGCCCGTTTTCGCGTTTGAATTGTTGATTCTACGTCTTCCTGGCAATGCCCCGACTACTTGAGTGGCCTGAGCGAAATTACCGAGGCTTGTTGCACCAAAAAACTTTGCGTGAATAATGTGACATGCGGCGATTCATTCCGCACGAACGCCGCAGAATGTATGCTAAAGAGTGATTCGTATGATAAGATTTTGCTCGCAATTTTCAGTAGCGACGTCGCCCGGGCTGCAAAAGCACGAATCATAGCTGAAATGGTCGGCGTTAATACTGAAAATCGCTAGCACAATCAGACCAAGTGAACCAGGCATAACAAGTCAGTGACGCCCACTGGTAACAATGATCAACATCTCCTTGTACCTACTGTTTATATCGAGCCTCCTTACCAACCTTCAAACTTCAGTCTCTTGAGGCCTGCACTTATTGCAACTACCAAGCCAACGTTTGGTCTACGGGCCGGTGTCGTCTAAAAAGCAGACGACAAGCAGAAACGTTTGAAAGAGTACACAACAGTTCGAACGATAAGGCGACCGTTTAACTTGAGGACGCACTGAGC